GGCCAGAAAGGATTCTAGAAAGGAAAAATAGGAAGAAAAAAAAATAAAAACCAAAAAGAAGGGAGAAAGGAGAGCGTTTTTATTTTTATTATTCCCCTCCCCCCTTTTTTCGAACACACCCTTTTGAACACCTGTGACTTTGGGCCAGAAAGGATTCTAGAAAGGAAAAATAGGAAGAAAAAAAATAAAAGTAACAAGAAACCAAAAAGAAGGGAGAAAGGAGAGCGTTTTTATTATTATTATTATTATTCCCCTCCCCCCTTTTTTCGAACTCACCCTTTTGAACACCACACCCTTTTGAACACCTGTGACTTTAGGCCAGAAAGGATTCTAGAAAGGAAAAATAGGAAGAAAAAAAATGAAAGTAACAAGAAACCAAAAAGAAGAGAGAAAGGAGAGCGTTTTTATTTTTATTATTATTATTATTATTCCCCTCCCCCCTTTTTTTGAACACACCCTTTTGAACACCTGTGAATTTGGGTCAGAAAGATCCTCCCCTTTTTTCTCATTGCAAAGATTTTTGCATCGTAATTTTTTCCATGCTATCTCTACATTTTGAAATTATTTTATGAGTTTATTTATGACTTGCAGCTTATGCGCAGTAAATAAAACTTATTGTTTTTCTTAATGTTCTTCATATTTTTTTTTTCTTTTTGATTCAAATATTTATCTTCTAATTTTTAATTTGATTCTCCAATTTTCTAGTAACGAAGGATTCAAATACTTTTTTTCTAATTTTTATTCGATTCTCTTGTTCTCTAGTAACGAAGGATTGAAAACTTCGTTGAATTTAAAAATATTGGTTGCCTTTGACCGTCATAAAATTGCTTTTTTTTTGTTCATATAATGAAAAAAAAAAGAACTACTTTTTCGTAGTACGAAGGTATAAAAAAAAAACAATTTTACTTCATGTATCATGCTTCATTGCTTTAACTACTATGTTAAACGTTAAAGATTATCATATTTAACATTTTTAGAAACGGCAAAAATAGAGAAAAGGCTTTTGAGTTTTAGTGATTAACTAAATCAGAGATATAAATACGCAGATGTAAATCATGGAAATTATTGTGTAAACTAAAATATTACCTGTCAAAAACCTTTGTATTTCATCACGGCTTTAATAATAAAGCCGATTATTAATATAATTTTTATATAAAAAACATGAATATTGTCTCTGTGTGGTATGATTCCGCAAAATTTCATAACACATAAATTATTTAGTAGATTAATAAAATATTTTTTTTTTGAAATGTTAAATTGAAATTGCAGTAATTTAACTTACCAGTATAAAATATCATTCGCTTCAAATGCTTCGTAGCGCACTGATTTACATATCGTACGAAGTGATGCTTCTCTTAGGGAAGACAATGCTTCTAATCCATGCAGATAGGAATAGATAATGTGATGATCCTAAAAAAAAAAGATATTTACAATAGGTTTATAAACAGTAACAGACTTCAAACAGCACAGAAAGATGATGAAAAAATTACGTTCAATTACAATTTTGTTTAGCAAGTATCTTAAATTTTGATAATTCAAGGTAATTTTAGTATTATTTGAATTATCTGAAATTCAAAAAAATAAATAAATGAATAAATAAATAATGAGATATGAATAAATAAAGTGTTAATCACGACCAGGAAAATAAAAATCGCAAAAGAGCGCATCATTCAAGATAATTTTAAACTGTGGTCTTAAGTTTAAAATATAATACCTAGATGGCAGCACTAAAGGCGTAACCAACACGATTGTTAAGTTTATTTTTCATTTAACTGTGACAAGAAAACTTTTGGTCAAAATTATAAGACATATAATGATTTAATAACAGGATTTGAAATTGAAATAATGGAACAAAGAAACTTGTTTATCGAGAAAAATGAAGAAAATTACTAAATTTCCATTTCAAAATCCAAAATATTAAATAGAATAGCTTTTTAAATTAGTGATTAGTTTCACGTCGGGCCAGAATTTATTTGCTGACTGATTATATCAAATATATTGGATATTATTCAGAGGTGTACTACATTTTGCATCACTTTTTTAATAAAATTCAATAGCAAAAAAGAAAATTAAATTATAAGTATGGATAAATATGGAGCTTAATATTTATTGAAAATTATGCATACATTATTTTGCTTGCTGAAACCTAGACTAATGTTTTGTAAATATGTTGATAGAAGCTCTTACTTTCAAATCTCTTTTGTTACGTTTCTCTAATAAGATTAATTTACGAAATTCACTTTCTCTTATTTTATTTAGAGAACACAAATAAAATTATGAACGGCATGTCTTATTTTGCTTAAATTTCTCTCTTATTTGGAGTAATTGAAATGTAAAACTTCGAGGATTGGGGAGCAATAAACGGTAAAGGATCTATCCTTCAATGTAATTAAAATAAAACATAAAAAAATAAAATAAAAATAAATAAAAATTGGGGTATTGAATAAAACTTAGGAGAAAAGAATGAGTCTTTTACAAAATCCCTTCGATGATATAAGAAAAAAACGTGAAAATTAAGTAATAACGTAAAAATGTTTAAAGAAATCATTTTTATTACATCTGTTTATATGCCGGTCTTATTAGTTTATTAAGTTATTATTATTTATTATGTATATTAACTGGAAAAATAAGGCATAAAATCACATTCATTATATTCGTATCTAATTTATTATTGTTCATTTTTTTTAAATTCAACAAATAAATGTATTTTACATAAGTTCAGCTAACATTTTCCTTATGAGTAATTTGTTATTCTTCATTTTTTATTTACTAAAATTATATTTTCATTTTAGGGCATGATTCTGAAAATACCTATTTTATTTATATCCGGTATTCGACGAGATTTGCCTATTACTAAATTGTTTGTTACTCGATTCATAGGGTAGAGNTAAATTATAAGTATGGATAAATGTGGAGCCTAATATTTATATATTTATAGAAAATATAGGATAAATTATTTTGGTTTGCTGAAACCTAGACTAATTTTTCGTAAATTTGTTGATAGAAGCTCTTACTTTCAGAACTCTTTTGTTACGTTTTGCTAATAAGCAGGGGCTCTAGGATGGGTGGTCCCGGGAGATCACTGCGATTTCCTAAACATTTTCATTATTTGGCAAATTTTGCTTATCCATTCGAGATATTTAAGAAAATTCATTTTCTCTTATTTTATTTCAAGAACACAAATAAAATTATGAACGACATGTCTTATTTTGCATTAATTTCTCTCTTATTTGGAGTAATTAAATTGTAAAACTCCGAGGATTGAGGAGCAATAAACTGCAAAGGGCCTATCCTTTAATGTAATTAAAATAAAACACAAAAAATAAAATGGAAATGAATAAAAATTGGGGTATTGAATAAAACTTAGGAGAAAAGAATGAGGCTTTTGCAAAATCCCTTCTATGATATAAGAAAAAAACGTAAAAATTAAGTAATAACGTAAAAATGTTTGAGGAAATAACTTTTATTTCATCTGTTTATATGCCGGTTTTATTAGTTTATTGGTTATTATTATTTATTATGTATATTAAGTGAAAAAATTGGAGATAAAATCACATTCACTATATCCGTATCTAATTTATTATTGCTCATTTTTTTTAAATTCAACAAATAAATGTATTTTACATAAGTTCAGCTAACATTTTCCTTATGAGTAATTTGTTATTCTTCATTTTTTATTTACTAAAATTATATTTTCATTTTAGGGCATGATTCTGAAAATACCTATTTTATTTATATCCGGTATTCGACGCGATTTGCCTATTACTAAATTGTTTGTTACTCGATTCATAGGGTAGAGAAAAATTTGTCTTCATTTCAGCTGCAAATTGATTTTTTTCTCTCCTTCTTTTTCAAATTTAGTTATTAAAAGCCTCTTTGAGTGTCAGGGGGTTCATGCAGGTTAAGGTTCCACAATGCGGGAATTGCTAATTGTGGTAATGTGGTCAGTATTGCGCACAGACAGCCTTTACTTCCTAGAAAAACTAGCATCTACTGATCTGAAGCTGAGTGGGCTTCAAGTCACCACTGGGGATCGAACCGCGGATCTTCACAACGGCCTTACCCATAAATCAATCGCAACTCATTGACTAGAATAATTAAGTATAAAGTCTTTAAATCAGTAATATATTTTTGGAAAAAATTAATATATTGCGAAGATATTAACAACAAAATGAATGTTTTTATTGGAGCTAATGAATTACATACTTATTGATGATTCGGTCAAATTTGAAATTTTTATTTAGGCTAAATTGAAATTTCGCCCCTTCCGAAAATTCGAGGTGGCCCTACTAATAAGTAAATAATTGGGAAATTTCTCGAAAATAAATATCGTTGAAGGAATTATATGTCCTTTACGACTCAGCAGTTGAAAAAAAGAGAGTTTCATTTTTCCGGTATTAAATGAAATTAATAAAAAAATTTTTTTGGATTTTCAAAATTAAAAGGAAAATTATTTGAAAGAGATTTTGTACTTTTCGGAATTTATATGTTTTTTGGAGTGTTTGAAAAAAAGAGGCATTGTAAACACTAGTTATTACTGCAAGAAATTTAACTAAGTTACTTTTAAACTATACTATCTGTTCTAGAAAATTGAAATGAAAATTGAAGTACGTAGGAAATTAGCGCTAAAAAGTGTGTGATAAAATTGTATCACTTAAAGCGGTTTCGCTTCACTTTGACAAGTATGGTCAAAATCGCCAGAACATGGTCAATTTTAACGTATTTCTGTCAGTACGGGAATAACTAAAGGCTCGGCGATTTTTTACCGAAGTAGTTTGGTAATGATTTTGATAAAAAAAACAATAAAATATTGTTTTATAATACGTGTTAAAATTTGGCAAATGCGTTAAAATTGGGAAATTCTTGGAAATGACACCTTAGATCATGACATGAAAACCCTTTATTCGGCTAAATATGCTTTTCAGTTTAGCAATTTTTACTAAATTAGTGGTGATAAAAAAAAACTATGATTTTGAAATCAGGATTCTCGGTAAACTGTTATCATACGAACGGAAAAATTACCAAATGAATGGTTTAAATACTGTATATGTTTGCTTTAAATACCAGAATTATGTTTAAGAGAAGAAAAAAAACTAGAGACTATCAGTATGGTAAATTTTAACCATATTTTTTTTCGTCCGTGCTTTTTATAGAAAAAAAAACTATTTTTTTTACTAATTTATTTATTTCTGACAGAAAGTAAAACAAAAGGTTACTTTAGCAAGAGATATTAATTTTTATTCGTCACATTCAAATGAACTACAATATTAAAAACAATTTTGCTTCAAATACATAGTTTACCTTCAAAATTGCCCTGCTTACTAATGTAGTACTAATATATAGCAATAAAATTATTTTTTGTAAGCAACAGTTAGTATACATTTATTTATTAGGAAACTATTTATTAGGAAACAGTTTCATTTTAATCGTTTCGTTAAATTCACGTTAGGAGGAACATTGTCTCATTGCATAAATAATATCATAATTCCAATAAAAAAATGGAAAAAAATTATCAGCCGAAATTTCATTTCGAATCTCGGTTCCATTTTTTAAAATTTATCATTAAAGTTTTAAATAAAAGCATATTATACAAATTATATTAACTAAAAACGCAAATTTATTTCAAATAAGAATTGAAAAATAAACTGCAAGGATTTCAATGTCTTATTTTCAAGGTAAATTTAAAAGTATACGCGAATATAATTTGTAACTTTATTATTAATTTTTAATACTTAAATTTGAAAGTTTATATTCTATAAATAGAATTTTTAAGAATTATAGTGAATGAAGTTTATTAAATAATTAATAAATCTTAAACATTTATTAATTGAAAAAAAAACTATCTTAAAAAATGCCATCAAACTATTTTAAAGATTAGTAATAAAGAAAAAGAAAATGAAGGAAATAAAAATGAAAGTATGACCACCGAAGCCGACGTCTTCAGGGGGTACCGGCCCTGGTAGCCATAAAAACAAAACCATTTCTAATTGAGGGAGAAGCAAATGCTTAAATCAACTCCCTCAGTACCCCGATGGTTTTGTATAGAAGTCCAGGAAAAAAACATGCAATATAAATAACAAATTAAGAAAAGAAACTCAAGCAAAATCATCAGAAAAATAAAAACTCATGTGAGTATGTGACTGTGTGTGAAACTATGTGACTATGTGAGTTTTTATTTTTCTGATGATTTTGTTCGAGTTTCTTTTCTTAATTTGTTATTTATATTGCATGTTTTTTTCCTGGACTTCTATACAAAACCATTGGGGTACTGAGGGAGTTAATTTAAGCTTTTGCTTCTCCCTCAATTAGAAATGGTTTTGTTTTCATGGCTACCGGGGCCGGTACCCCCTGAAGACGTCGCTTCGGTGGTCATATTTTCATTTTTATTTCCTTCATTTTCTTTTTCTTTATTGCTACTTTTTTCTGAAACTTCTGCTGCTTTTTAGCGCATTTTTTTCAAAGAAGTTTTTTCTATTTAGAATTAAAAATATTTGTGTTTTCTTTTAGTATTAAGGATTAGTACTTAGTTTTAATTAATTTGCATAATGAAATAAATTATTGGATTAGTTTTAAGGAATAGCGTACATCTTGGAACGAATCATGTAACCAAACTATCTTTGAAATAAGTTATCAACAATAAACTATAACCTCAATCTTTTATTATTAAACAATCTATAATTTTTATTCTTTTATAAAAGGGTAACAGCACCTCTTATTACCCATCTTTCCAGTTTTTTAAACTTACCCACCTTTCATAAAAACGCGTGAAAAAAATTTCAAAATAACCTAGATTTATGGTAATTAACAAAAAAAGAAATCTCTATTGATTATTAATATATATTGTTAAAATAAAGTAGATTTTTCTCAGCTCAAATAGAGCAGTTTCCGAGTTTTGTCCATTAGTAAATTAAAGCATTCTGAATAGAATCCGGAGTAATGTTTCATTTAGTTTAAGCAAAGCGAACGCTCATTGCACATTAAATGGATAGTACCCTAAAAAACCATTTTTTGATCCATTAACCTTAATATTTCCATCTCATTTCAAAATAAATATTATTCTTTTGTACTTTAAAACAAATTTATAATAGGTTACTCATAATAAGTCACAAAAATACATCAGATAAATCTCGTCTCTAACCTAGAAAAGAAGAGTACATCAGAATACTAATGCTGCAGACAAAAATAGCAAAGAAAAATGGCGCAACGTAACTAATTCAGCAGACGATTTTTATCTCGTATATAAGATGCGGAATTCTCTAATTTGTGATAACTGAGCATGCATAAAAGTTTAGAAATAATACGACCAAATATTTGAAACGTGATGGAAATTTCGATAATGTTCTTTTTTATGAGCACAAGATCAGGAGTATAAATGTTATTTAATTAGTATTTAGGAAGTACATTTTTACTTCTAATAATTTCTTCAAAATTCAGTAAAACTTTTGTTGTCGTTTGGTATTATATGAGTTATTGTTTGAATGTGTTCCATACATTTTTAGGATTGTTGTCTCTTAAATTCGTTTGTTCCTTTTGCTGTTTCTTCTTCCTTTGTTGAATAAATGCTGATCAGCAATTTCTATCTTAGTCTAAAGTTGCGACTTTAGTTAAAAATAAAAGTTTGAATTTAAAATTAAAAACGATTTGGAATTAGGCCATTTTTAAAATTATTTAAAAAATTGTGTACTTATTTAATTTTCTTAAATATTTTTTAAAATCAAAATATTTCAAGATACTTATTATTTGACAAATGTAATTTAGATAGAGCTTAAAATTGCTGGATTATGAAATAATTTCGCATTAAAAAGTTACTTTTAATGTATTTTAAAAGAAAATTAGAATTTAAAATGTTTTTATACCTAAACAGTAAAAGTAAAAACGGTTTTTAAGTTAAAATTTCGACGAATTTTACCTTTATATTGCCTTGATGCATGTGAAATATAATCTTCAATTTTTCTTACATTTTCAAAAGATGATATATAAATTTTAAAAAATGGATTTAAAAAAGTATGATATTAGAAAAAAAGCAAAATACTATACAATACTATACTGTACAATAGGATATAATTTTTATGAAAGGTAGTTTAATGTTTTCAAAATTTTTTATCTCTTTATCTTTATAATCGTTTTTAAAGGAAAACAAATTATATAAGTTGATATTGTAAAAAATAACATGTTTGAAATTTGAGGATTTACGTGTACGTGTGTTTGCAATATTTTTACAATATCTCTAACAGTAAATGTAAATAAGTTGGCATGCGAGAACAAGCGGATAAATTTGCTTATATTGAATTTTGAATAAATTCCATAGATTATTTGCAAAAAGCAGGAATAATATTGTATTGATCGCATGTGGAAAAGGTGAATAGATTTGCATTGGAGGGAAAAAAATTTTGCATGTAAATTGCCACTTAATTTTTTTTCCGTAACAAATATGACGGGAAAATTTATCACATATATATTATATTAAACCAAAAATAAAGAATTCAACTTTTTCTTATTTTATTATCCATACAATTAAATAAACGATGAATCATAACATCAAAGTCTATAATCTATTCTTTTCTCAAGTGATCTCTAAATGCTTAAGTAGTTGGTACACAAGATATATTGTAAATAGATATGAATAGTTTTATCAGTTATATGTCATATTTTGATAATAACACAATGATTTTTAGTCATTTTTTGAACAAAAAGATAAGTGACGTAATCTTTGTTCCAATTGAAGAAAAAAACTACAATACGCTTTGGAATGAAATTTCTGGGAATCGTGCTGTAATAAGATTACATATATTGCTGAAAGCAAAATCTGAACATAAAAAAAGCTTCCGTTCTAAGCAATCAGATTTTTACGTACTAACATAGAATCTTAATGGTTTGAGGGGTTTACCCTACAAATGCAAACAACATAGTGCAATTGATATTTTGAAATACAAATTAGGACAGAAGAATGTACTTTATCTGAATGAACATTCATAAGTTTAGATTAATCAATTCCTGACGCTCAAATAAGAGGGTTCTGCTGATTAGTTTAAATAGGAGATGGTTAGAAAATTTTATTTCTACATTTGGAAATATGAATTTCAACTTCATTAAGCTATTCAGGTTATCCTGTTGCTCTATCTATTCCAGAAAATATGAATTGTTTTTTTTTTTAATTCGATGCGGCGAAACATGTATACTTTTATCAACTAAAGACAGAATTAAAATTAACTAAGACAAAGAAACAAAATCAAATAAAGAAATAACGTGCAAAAATGATTCTATTGCATCGACTGAGGAAAATTGAAGCAATGTGCTTCATTTGGAGCTGTAATAAAACTGTTTTTGAGGCAAAATTTGGTGCCAATTTGTATTTTATAATTTAAAGTAAAGAAAATTTTTTTATATATTTCATTAAATGCGAATTTTTGTTGTTTTTTATGACACACACGTTTTTATTTCACATATTGTATATTCTTCACAATTACTTTCGCATTAATCTGACTTTTATTACTCTATATTCTTTCCATCATTCTAATTAAATTATTACATTACTCATAGGCAATTCCACCATTTACAAATGTCATTTTTGTTCTCAGTTTTAAACAAATTAAGCAGTTCTACTAATTTTTGCTAAAATAACTTAGTGCCATTTACACTTACTAAAATTTTTATTACCTTTAAGAAATTTGAAATTTTAAAAAATAAGAATAATAAGAAGAAAAAAAGATTAATAAGAAATTTAAAAAAATATATAATTTAGCTTTGACAGACGTGATTATTGTGTTTTATCCATAACACACAAATTTAATTTTTTAAATTCTTTTTAAACTAATGAAAGTTACTAAAAAATTGAAGTTAATATGCAATTGACATTAGCAGTTATTATAACAAAAATTAGTGGAACTGCTTGATTTGTTATGGCTTAGATATGTAGTTTTAAAGTCAGCAAACACGATATTCGTTAATAATGAAATTTCCCATAACAAATACTACAGAAAAAGGTAAAAGAAATATAAACGATAATTTTTTCCGACATGTGACTTACTGGAGAGTATACCATTCGAGTGAATGAAATTTTGTACATGGGCATCATGATCTATGCTGTCAAGAATCGTGGTAAAAACGATTGCGTAGTTCTCGCGGTTACAGTTAAAGTGATAAAATTACAAAATTTTCAAATGATAACACCCACTTTTTATGAACGTAAACTTTTCAGTAAAAAAAAAAACTAAAATGGAGTTAGAACGATATTTTTAACAAATTGCGATATTATGCTTTTGTCAAGTATCATAGTGTCATCGTCTTAGAATTAGGCTTAACTCCAATTATTGAATAAATTTTTGCACTTTGTTGTTCACAGTTAAAATTTTCCTTCTAAAATTACGGTAATATAATTGGCGGTAATTAACTGTAAAGTTTACGGAAAAGAAATTTTTTTACCTTTACGGTATTATAACCATTTACAAAAATATCGTTATAAAACCATGAATACAAAACTATACGGTTTTTTAATCATTTAGAACTAGCATTTTTTAAAAACGTAATAATTTTTTAACTAGATATAGAAGCTCAGCTTTTCGTAAGTTAATGGTCATTGGAGAGTGCCGGACATTGGGAATTCTTCACGTGTTGAACGAAATAGAGAAAATATTGTAGTGTCAACACTAGGACTCGAACTCCAGATCTGATGGTCATGAGATTGACAGATAAGCCAGCTCGGCTATGATATGTACGCAGTAGCGAAGAACTAAGTATTAGCTTCATTAGGTGGTTCTAGTTGGTGCGATAAAATTCTGGTTGTTTAACCGTATTAGGTGAAAGCAGTTAATAAACAGTTTTTCTTAAACTTAACAGTTTGATTACCATTTTATCTATGGTTATTTGACTTTGTTGATTAAATATGGTAAAATAGCCATGCAATCAATTGTTATTTAACCATTTATTCCGAGAAATTTCTAACAGTGTTTCAAGTAAAAACAAATTTTCACAACAAGCGTCATGTTAGATATTTTGTGTTATGCATACAGGAAAACATATCTAGAATAATATATGCTGTTAAAGACATGCTATTAAAATTTCCTATTGCGGACGTAACATATTGAAATTCGTTCGTAACGCTTATCATTTTTTTTTTTAAGGAATGAAGGTTGCTTTAAATTACAGTAAATGTAAATGACATCAAGAGTTTTAGAAACAGAAAATGATTTTATTTAACTGAAAAGTGTTTATGTTCTTATAAAGTCTGCAAACTTGATATTCGCATATAGGGGAATTACCCATAAAATAAAATAAAAAACAAAAAATGGTAAAAAAAATAGACATAATGTTCTACTTACATCATTATTTCTATCTTCTGGATCTTTTTTTAAGCTCTCTAAAAACTTTTTCTCAACATAAATAGCCATTTTATAGTTCTAATAACTAGTTTTACTATTTAGGCTATAATGTTGCATAACCAGTTTGAAAGTTTCCTAGTTTAAGCTCTTGATTTTGGACTTTTGCAAAGACACTTAACGATGAAAACAACTGAATGTTATCCTGGCGCCATCGTCTTAGAATTAGGCTTAGCTTGAATAATCGAATAAGTTCTTGCACTTTGTTGTTTCAAATAAAAGCAAATTATCAAAACAAGCGTCATGATGGTGTTGTGGAGTTAAGCATAGAGAAAAGCACACTTGGATTTTCACTTTTCTTCTGCAGAGACATATCTTTGATTTTAATAGAAGCTCATAAAACAAGAAAAGTTACGATCTGAAATAAAAATAGAATAATTATTCAATATGAGTCAATGATCAAAAATGCATCATTATAATTAAAACAGAAATTTTCGATCATGAATTGATTATTTAACACAGAATCTATTGTTCAATTTAAAAAGTAAGTATAATTTTACAGTTTGGAAATTTCATCTGCATTCGTCTGTATGATGATTTTAAAATTTCACACGAAAATATGTTTTAAATTAAAATCATGGTTTCAGTTACTCAAACTATTATTTTAATGACTTATTATTTCAAAAATCTTCCATGTTTTAAATCTTTAAAGTATAAATTTCTGCTGAAGACAAATTTCCAGGCTTCTAAATAGGCGTGAACAATAAAAACAAAAAATATAATCTTGTAAAATTATCTAAATTACAAATTTTTTTAAAAAAATAATGTAATTCATATGCTGTAAAAAAATCCGAATCAAATTACGGTATACAGTACAAGAAATTTAGATGCATCATCCGTAGAATCCGTTCTATCGTAAAATCCATTTTTACCGTCAAATATTATACTGTAAGATTTACAGTAAAGGAGAGTTGTCTAAATCGTACCACCTTTCGCAGTTTAATTTTTATCAGAAACAAATCACTGACAATTACAACTGAAATATTTAGATCATAAAATATAGTTATTCAGCTAATTATATATCATATAAAATATTTTTTAGTAAAAATTTATTTGAAGTAAGTACTAAAAATTAATTAATTTTACAAGTTCTGCAAGTGGTACGATTTAGGAAATCAGTTGCCTAATTCGTACCACCAGCTTACCGACCTATAGCATTAAATCTGATATATCCTTACACAGGATGTTCAGAAATTACATTGAAAACTTGTAAAACCAATAAACTTAAATTAAAACTTAACGCGTGTACACAACCACTTTAATTCTTCTACCTGATCTCCACGTGAAAAAAGCTTTCTAATTAATTTATCAGCTAACTAGGGCATTCTGCTCCAAATACTTTTTTAGAAATCAAAGGCGATACGATTTAGAAGACATACAATTTAGACAACTTTCCTCTAATAATTATTTAGTTAGAGTAATTCAGTAATTTTACGATAATTACCATTGTATAAATTATGGTATATCAAGTTTTTTGTTCGTAATATGTTCTGAAAAAATAAATTTTACGGTGAAAAGTTTTTGTAGTGTAGATGATAGACATTTGCATATTCTGTATTTGTATTTCACTATTCGAATACGTGCTTGTAAGATAATTTTTTTTCTTGTTAGTATAAATGAAAAAATGTCATATATTATTGTTAAAAAATGAGTGAAAGTCACTAATTGTATTTTTTTTTTTTTTGTAAGAGAGGTTCCGGTTTTTTATTATTTACAAATATAATTCTGTGCGTGTAATTTATATGAACTTTAACTAGGTCGCTAAATGCAGAAAGAGTAAATAAATTTTAAATATAATTTTTCTTTGTTTTCCCTGACTTATAAATTCGCCAATTTACAACAAAATATGAATAAATTATGATTTCTAACATAATCAACTAGAAAAATTTATAACTTTAAAATTTAAAGTACTCTACGCATATTCAATAATTTAATTTAGAAATAAACTTGATAGGTTTAACAAAAAACTCTATTTTTCATTTAAAAAATTTATTTTTTTGCCCCTTCTAAGAAAACAAATTCATAAGTTTTTTTCCAATAATTGTTGTTTTTACAATTAGAAAGCGAATACTTAATTAATAAAGAAATTTAGATAAAACCTTTTGAACTGCAATTAATCATTCTCTAATGGAAAAAAAACTAAAGAGAGAAAATCAATTTCTAACTATGAAAAGTCCCTTAAATAAACGGAAAAAAAATTCATAAAGGAGCTAAATCTTCAAGTCTGTTTCACGCGCGCTAACAAGACACTTTTTTTTTTACACATTTTCAATTTTATTTTCCACATCCAACTATTTTAACGTCTCGTTAGTTCAAAACTTTCGTCCATTCATTTCACGGTTAATTACTCAAACACGGCTTGTGTGAAGCAACAATCAAAGGGACCCATCAGTTTTCGAGGGGGTGGTGGAGTTTAGAACGTTCGAAAACTAACACGAGTTGTTGGTCATTGATTAGAACAATATTTTCAGCCCTTCAAGCTAAACGTGTTTAAATAAACGTTAATTACGGCTGGTTGCGCCTTCGGCCTGCTTAAGTTTGATCTTAATTGCTTTTTGGCTTAATTTTCTCGTAGCGAGAATGAATATTTTCGCCAAAGTCGATAAATACTAGGAAATTTTATAAGGTTAGAAAGGTTTACTTTTAGACTGAGTTTTAGCAATATTAACAACGCAAGCAATCTCGTTTTTTAAACTACTATGTGATTGAATTGAGTTTTGGAGTAATTATTGAACAAGTCAAAGGAAAGAATTTTTATTGATTTTGGAACAGTAGAAAGCAGCATTTCTAAACTCTAAGTAGAATTTCTGGTAAACCGTTACCATATGAAGAGAAAAATAACTAAATGAATGGTTTAAATACAGTATATTTTGTTTTAATTAACCAGAAAAAAAGTTTTTTTTGTTTTTTTTTTAACCATACGATCATTTTTTTCTCAGTGAGGATTTTATTTTAAAACAAAATCATACCCTTTGCATTCGAGTTGTAATTTAAATTGAAATACATAGCCAATAAATAAATAAAGGAACAAATAAATAAATAAATAAATAAATAAATAAATAAATAAATAAATGAAATTTAAAAAGTATTTCACTGTTACAAGAGATTTTTCATAAACTATTTTCACAAATTTGAATCCTTACAATGTAAATAATATTTATGGGAGCGATATGGGATAATTCTAAAGTTCGTAGTCAATGGTGTAATCTTTATTTTAATCCCGTCCCTAAGATATGACAATCGCTTTTTGAATTTTAACAACAAAGCCAACTAAACAACAATAAAATATACTTCAATCAACACTTTTTCTCGTCATTTGATGTAGTTCAGCAAAAATAAACTTGTTTTCAAAAATGTTTCAAAAATAAAATTGCGAATTATTTCTGCATAAGCTAAACTTCCAAGAATTTTCACTTTTAGTTACCATCTAACAAATAGTTTTAAATAATTTTCCATTTGATTACAGTTCTTTAAATAGCTACTTCAATAATCGTAAAAAACGTTATTCCAGTTATGCATTCGCAAACATTTTAAAATACGTGCGAAGTCTCTGAGCTGACATTCTGTTTCATTATATTTGTGTCTCTTGGTGGCAGGACAAGTCATTCGGTGATAGGACATAATGCGTGCCGGACAACTGAGGTATATATCCTGCGGACATCCTTATCATGATGTATTGGAATCCTTCCTTTATTAGAAATTCTATCTTAACTAGCTTCCTTTTTTTTATTTTATGCTGTTTATCAGGGATGGGTGAAGTCGAGTAGATTAAAGAATCTGATGTTCTGCTAAAATATTCGGTCAAATCAGCAATAACTCGTTTTTAAAGCGTGTTAAAATAAATGTATAAGAATATATAACTTAATGACAGACGTAATACACTGTTAAAATTTTCATTCTGAAATTATGGTAAAATAACGGGCAGCTGTCTGTCCATCCGATTAACTGTAAAGTTTGCGGTAAAGAACATTTTTTCTATGGTTTTGAAACCATTTACAAAAAATATGGTTATAAAACCATGAATATATGGTTTTTTTAACAATTTACTACTAGCATTTCTCAAAAACGTTAAAAAAAAATTTTTTTATCTAGACATGAGCTCAGGTATTCGTAAGGTAATGGTCATTGGAGAGTGCCGGACTCTAGGAATTATTTATGCGTTCAAGGGAATGAGCGAAATATTTTGGTGTCAACACTAGGAATCGAACTCTAGTTCTGCCGATCATGAGATTGACAGATAAGCCCTCTGAGCTATAATATGTACCCATCTACCAAGAACTAAGTGATTTCATTAGGTGGGTCTAGTTAGTGCAATGAAATTCTAGTTGCTTAACCGTATTAAGTGAAAGCAGTTAATAGACAGTTTTTCTCACAGTTAACAGTTTGAATACCATCTTATTTATGGTAATTTGACTGTTTTGTTTGAATATGGTAAAATAACAATTAAATAAATTGTTATTTAACCATATTCTCCAAGAAAATTTGCGTAGTGTCTGACTTAAGGCATTTATAGGTTCAGGCTTCTCACANCAGAGATGGGTGAAGTCGAGTAGATTAAAGAATCTGATGTTCTGCTAAAATATTCGGTCAAATCAGCAATAACTCGTATTTAAAGCGTGTTAAAATAAATGTATAAGAATATATAACTTAATGACATACATAATACACTGTTAAAATTTTCATTCTGAAATTATGGTAAAATAACTGGCAGCTGTCTGTCCATCCGATTCACTGTAAAATTTGTGGTAAAGAACCTTTTTTTTATGGTTTTGAAACCATTTACAAAAAATATGGTTATAAAACCATGAATATATGTTTTTTTTTAACAGTTTACTACTAGCATTTCTCAAAAACGTTAAAAAAAATTTATTTATCTAGACATGAGCTCAGGTATTCGTAAAGTAATGGTCATTGGAGAGTGCCGGACTCTAGGAATTATTTATGCGTTCAAGGGAATGAGCGAAATATTTTGGTGTCAACACTAGGAATCGAACTCTAGTTCTGCCGATCATGAGATTGACAGATAAGCCTGCTTGACTATGATGTTCACGCAGTTGCAAAGAATTAAGTAACTTCATTAGGTGGTTCTAGTTGGTGCGATAAAATTCTGGTTGTTTAACAGTATTAGGTGAAAGCAGTTAATAAACAGTTTTTCTCAAACTTAACAGTTTGATTACCTTTTTATTTATGGTTCTTAGACTGTTTTGATTAAATATGATAAAATAATCATTTAATAAATTGTTATTTAACCATTTTTTCCGAGAAATTTCTAACAGTATATAATTTGTTCTAAGGATTCAAATTCTAAGGATTCCTCAGAAAAATT